CAAATTTAGGAGTCTTTTATCATTATCAGTTTATTTTAATTTATATAATTTATTTATTTATTTAAATTTTATTTCATATATGTTCTTTTGTATATCATTCATTATCTCAAAAATTTTCATCATAAAGGTCCTCGTTATCAAGACCTTCATTATAAGAATCTTCATTATAAAAATCTTTATTGTCAAAATTTTCATTATATAGACCTTCATTATTAAGATCTTCGTCATTGAGAAAATCTTCTTCACTAAAAAGATATTTATCATTAGAAGAATATTCATAATCCTGAGTTCCTCCCCCAAAAAAAATTAGTAATAGGTTTTTGTTTTAAGGACTCAAAGATTTTACGCCTCATTAGTGGTAAGTATTTACGAAATATTTTTAAATCAAAATCACTACCCATTTGTTGCTCAGCGAACAAAATAAAATTTTTTAATCCATTTAGTCTTTCTGGGCTGAAATATGTGGTGGCTCCTCATCTGAATCATCTAGATCACTCTGCTCATATTCCAAGTTTTCTGCCAACACGATTTCAACAATCAGATGGTCATCAAGTTTATCTTTAGTAGATATATACACATTATTTGTTTCTCTATAGACTTCTATTTATTGTACAATTGTCGGATCAGTAAGATAATTCATTAATTTCATTCTCTTCTTCTTCCAATAATTGTAAATGGATGTTCTGAGTAAGTTCAACTTTAACATTCGACACCATTGGTAAAATTTCCATCTTCTTCCAACAATTCACTATAGTCGATTCATCTACTTTATCCCATGATGCTGCTACATACTCAATGGCCTCTTTGATATTTAATTTATTACTTTAAAAAAAAAATAAATAAAAAAAATAAAAAGGTTATAAAAATTACATTAATTAATTTTACATAATAATATTAGCTTACTCGGGATCTCGAACATCTAAATCTCTTTCAAATTGGTATAATATATACTGAATATATTTTTTTTGATATTTTGCTTTGAAACATCTAATAATACCCGTGTCTATAGGTTGAAGTTGTGAAGTAGTAAGAGAAGGCAAAAATACAATTCGAATATTTGTAAGGCGATAATCAGATAAATCAGAAATTGTATATACACTTCCATAACTTCTACCACGTTTGTCTTTACTTCATTGCTTATTTCGTTGGCTAACTGGAATAGTGTTATATATTCTTGGACGACCACGACGATGACCACGACGACGACCATGACCATAATCATGACCACACCCACGATTATTTGATCTAATTGAAGTTGATTCTTCAGAACCGCTATTAGAAAACTCCTCATTAGATTAATTATACAGATTATTTGAATTATCTGAATTATCTAAATTTGGGTCAAAATAGCTTGATGCATTATCAAGTATAAACAAAATTTTCTAGTCTTTAACTTGAAATTGAGAGTCGAGATCCTTCAACCACTCTGCAAATATGTCAGTTCGCATCCATGCTTTAAGGTTAGCATGATATGTAACAGGCAAGGTCGCATGATTTATACTAGCTAATGCTCGTGGCTCAATAGAAGTTCTGATTACAAGGAGCTTTAGTTTTTCAGTTCTAGTTGAATTAGAAGCTAATAGAACAGTAATACGAGTACGATCCTAAATTTATTAATAAATTAAAAATAAATAAAGTA